AGGGCTCGGTCCCAGGAGGTTTTGGGAGTTCAGGCTCAGCCCAGGCAGACCCACGGCTCGGTCCCAGGAGGTTTTGGGAGCTGAGGCTGAGTTCCTGTGGAAATGCCGAAAGCTCCAGCGCAGTTTTTGCTGGCAGGTTTTGCCGGCCCCCTCCCTGGGGCCGATTCCTGCGCTGCGGGAGGGTGGCAGGTGGCCGGGCAGATAAAGCCGGTGGCCCTCGGTGGCCAGGCAGGCCCGGAGCTGCTATCGCGGGCTCAGCTGCCGCCCGGGAGGAGCCGCGGCTCCTCCAGCTCCTGCGGCAAACGGGGCAGCAGATGCGGGTGCAGAGGGGCAGGGCTGAGCCCGGTGCCCGGGCAGGGGGCACAGACCTCTCCTGTTCCCTCCTCAAGCAGAAACAGCCCGGCTCAAAGGTTCAGCCTGTGAGCAAGGGCGTTTCACCGAGCTGAAGCTGCAGCTCGTGGTTCTGTGAGCGCAGCCACTCCCTGCGGGGGCTCAGCATCGCGCATCTTTGCCAAATACTTTTCAGCATCTTCCTGCCCCGTGCCAAGGTCACTGCCCTAAGCTAATGCAGAATTCCCCAGAATTTAAAGGTGGTTTGTTTTTTCTGCCTGTTAACAGATTCCTTTTGCCTTATGCAGCCACCATCCCCACTCAGGCCGGTGAGCTGTAAAAATGCAGCCGAGCATCTCCGTGGGATTTGTCGTCGTGTTTACAAGGAAGCATTTACAAGGAATATGTTATCCAAGGTGCTGGATTCCTTCCTTAGGAAAACACCTCTGCGTCTCATTGCAAATGCCTTTGTTACGTCTGATTGGAGCTTAAATTGGAAAGGAAAATAAAGTGGAAATTGGAAAGGAAAATAAAGTGGAGATAAAAAAAAAAAATACTAAAGTAAAAGTGTGCTGCTCAGTGGAAACATCGCTGTTTCCTGGATAACAAGGGGAAACAGGAAGGTGCAGGTCGGCTGCTGCCGGCTGCCCTCGGACACATTGCCCTTCCTGCCCTCTTTGGTTTGGGTATTTTCTTTTCCTTTGTGACTTGGCAGCTTTGGAGGGAGGGGAGTCTTTCCTGGAAGGTGCCGGGGGAGGCAGGGAAGGAGAGGCTGAGGCAGCGGTTCCCGGCCAGCCGCTCCAGGGGATGCCAGGCGTGGCTGGCACCGCGCGTCCCACACCCAGCCCCGCTCCCCGCCGGGCTCACGGCTTTCGTCAGAGCCTTCCCGGAGCCGGGCTGAGCTCCGCTGAGCCGGGCTGGCCGGGAGCGGCGGGCGGGGGCCCCGCGGAGCTCGGAGCGGCCCCGCGGGAGTGGCCGCGCTGCCCGCGCAGTCCCGGGGCAGCCGCAATGGGCTCCGGCCGCCGCCGCTCGCTGCTGCCGCTGCTGCTGCCGCTGCTCCTGCCGCTGCTCCTGCTGCTGCCCGCGGCGTGGGGTGAGCCCCTGCGGAGGGGTGGGGGCTGCGGGGAGCCCCGGGCTGGGCGCTCCGTGCGTGCCGCGGGTGGGGTGCGCGAGTGTGGGATCCGTGTGCTATCCACGGGAGCGTGGGTTATCCACGGGAGCGTGGGTTATCCACGGGAGCATGGGATCCGTGTGCTATCCACAGGAGCGTGGGTTATCCACGGGAGCGTGGGTTATCCACAGGAGCGGGGGTTATCCACGGGAGCATGGAATCCGTGTGCTATCCACAGGAGCGTGGGTTATCCACGGGAGCATGGGATCCATGTGCTATTCATGGGAGTGTGGGTTATCCCTGGGAGTGTGGGTTATCCATGGGAGCGTGGGTTATCCGTGTGAGCGTGGGTTATCCATGGGAGTGTGGGTTATCCATGGGAGCGTGGGTTATCTGTGTGAGCGTGGGTTATCCATGGGAGCGTGGGTTATCCATGGGAGCGTGGGTTATCTGTGTGAGCGTGGGTTATCCATGGGAGCGTGGGTTATCTGTGTGAGCGTGGGTTATCCATGGGAGCGTGGGTTATCCATGGGAGTGTGGATTATCCATGGGAGTGTGGGTTATCCATGGGAGCGTGGGTTATCTGTGTGAGCGTGGGTTATCCATGGGAGTGTGGGTTATCCGTGTGAGCGTGGGTTATCCATGGGAGTGTGGGTTATCCATAGGAGCGTGGGTTATCCATGGGAGTGTGGGTTATCCGTGGGAATCTGTGTGATCCGTGTGCTATCCGTGGGACCGTGGGTTATCTGTGGGAGCATGGGTTATCCATGGCAGTGTGGATTATCCATGGCAGTGTGTGATCTGTGTGTTATCCATTGGAATGTGGGTTATCCGTGGGAATGTGGGTTATCCATGGCACTGTGGATTATTCATGGGAGTGTGGGATCCGTGTGTTATCCATGGGAGCATGGCTTATCCATGGCAGTGTGGGTTATTAATGGGAGTGTGTGAGCCGTGTGCTATCATGGGAATGTGAGTTATCCATGGGAATACGGATTATCCATGGGAGTGTGGGTTATCTATGAGAGCGTGGGTTATCCATGGCAGTGTGTGTTATCCATGTGCATGTGCTCCATGTGTGTTTGTGCTCCTTGAGTGCTCCCTGTGTGCTCTGTGTGCTCCTTTTGTCGCTGAGTGTGCTCTGTGTGTGTGCTCTGAGTGTGTGCTCTGTGTGTGTGCTCTGAGTGTGCTCTGAGTGTGCTCCGTGTGCCCCAAATCCCCATGTGTGCCCCATATCCCTGCCCCTGTCTGTGCTCCCTGTGCCGCCCTTTCCCACCGGCTCCGTGTGTGCCCTGCCCAGGGTACAAAAGCAGCAGCAGGAGCCCCGCTAAATCCCCGTTTATTTTCCCACAGGGGACTGCGGGCCGCTGCCAAATATCAGCCACGCCGAGCCCCGAGGGGACACCAAACAGCAGCAGAGCTTCAGTGTGGGCTCCACAGTGACCTTCAGCTGCCTCCCGGGTTACACCAAGCTCCCTCTTCTCCCTGACACCATCCGGTGCCTGTCGAACTCGCTCTGGTCCAGCCTGCCGGAGTTCTGCGGCCGTGAGTTTCCCGTCCTGACACAAGGAGGGTGCGGGCTGCCTGTGGAAACACCCACAGCTTTGGCAATCGCCGCCTCAGGGGCCTCCTCGTCACACAGGATGAAGTGGTTTGGCCACTTCGCTTGCTGCCCCTTTTTCCTGCGCTCCACCGAGGCCCTTGTGGCACTTGTGCGTCAATGAAAACAGGAACAGCTTGGGAAGAGCATGGAAAAGGGGAAGGAGTGCAGGGGCAGAGCGCTGGGTGACCAAAGGGTTAACCAGGCAGGGAGGTTTGGTTTTGGGGATTTGGAAGCTTCTCCAGTGAGAACTGGCTGCACTTTCCCACCTCAGACAATTCCCTGGTGGAAGTGGCCAGGGAGGAGAAGGGCACTGCCCGGGGTATCCGCGTGCTCAGTGAGGCTCCTGCCCACTCGGATTTATGTTTGCAGCTAAAAACAAACCATTGTTATGTTCTCTCTGTAACCATCCATTTTGGGTGTCTCTGTGGTGGCCAGGCAGCTGTCCCAGACCCAGATCTGTGTCATTTGCTGCGATATCACCAGAAGATAAAATGCAGAATTTTTACGCCATTAACACCACGGTGAGGTACATTTGTCTCCAAGGTTATGAAAACACCACGGCCCAGCCCCCCACCAGCACCTGCCTGGACAACTTAACGTGGACAGAAGTCCCTAAACTGTGTCAGAGTGAGTGTCTCCATGTTATTTCATTCTCTCCAACGCGGTGTTCCAAGTGCCACACCTGTACTTTAAAATCGCTCTTCTCTAATGACATTTAGCTTGAAATACCATTAATTGCCATATTGCCATAGAAACTAAGCCTGTGGGGTTTTTCCCAGCTTCAATAGTGTCCTAAGGATAATCTCATTCTTTTATAGTTAAATCTTGTGGCGTTCCAGCCAGTCCAGAACATGGCCAAGTTATCCTAGAAGATCATCAGCTGGGTGCAACAGCCAGTGTGGTTTGTGACCGGGGGTGAGTGTGAAGCCCCTGCCCACTGCCTCCCAGTTGCCTGGCCAGAGTCACTGGGGTGTGAGCTGGGACGTGGGGCTCTGCCCACGCGGAGTCCTCAGCACCTCTGTGGTGACACATCCCCGGTTGGTGGCAACAGCTGATTTTGGGATGTGCCTTTTGCCCCCACAGGTACAGATTAAAGGGAGCATCACCTTCCATCATGTG